GGCTCTTCACTTCATGTCGGCACCCTAAACATTTTAAGTAAGAGCATAAAACACGAGCCTGCTAACCGATAATAAACTTTTCACTGGACAGCACTCACCGCCGTTTTGACTTGGCAACAACAAACAATTCTTCAGGCGTGCAGAATCTATCATTAGCACTACACACTGTGAATAACACAATCAACACAGCAAATCACAACACTATGCCAACCACCCAATATCCGCGCCATTCATCAGTGTCTTGTTCCTTGTCTAAGTGATTTACTTGTGATGCTGCTCCAAAGAGATAATTCAGTAGTTCGATACGTTTCTTTGTTTAGAAGTCGTCTGTGGTCATGTAAGAGAAATGCGTTCAAAATGTTGAGTTTTATTGTTTTGCGTGTAGGTGATAAAATTGCAGTGTTTTGTGTAAGCGCTCGGCGCGCGAGGAGAGTATTGTGGTCGGGCTGTGCGTGATTCCTTGGTGCCCCCTCCGTGAGGTGCTGTGTGAGACATCGGAGCAAAAATGTTGTGATTACACCATTATAGTATACGGAACCTTGAAGCAACACCCGGCAGCGGTCAAGAGACGGATGGAAATGACCACGCATCGAAATCGGTACTTTGGTTCATGAAGCATCCAACACTTCATGAAGTCAATAGGCATGCATGTAAAAGGTGTTCCCCTGCCGGATGTTTTACTAGTGGAGTTTTTAGATTGGTGGTCGGGACGGATTACGGGAAGAAGCAATGGGAAGGCGCAATGGCGCAATCCCTCTTGCTCGTAATGCCGCAGCTGCTGAACCCGTTCAGAGAATCAACTGGTCAGTCAACTAAATTGCATTCATAAAACGTTCTGGTCAGCAGCTGAAGGCATTATGTCCCATCCTGGGGCTCACAGCGGCTTTTAGTCTGGTGATAGCTCACAGGACCGTACGGAAACCCTCAGAATGATGCATCATGACCAGTCCCCTCCTCGATGCGGCTGGCCCTCTGAGACATCCAGCAACGGATCGGCGCAAGGGTCTTCGCTGATGCAGACAGACTCTTTACTGGCGTAGGAAGTCCAATAATAAGCATCGAGACACTTGTTTGCCTTATCGGTCCCTGGTTGAAATGGTGCAGAGTCACACAGTCACACGGGTCTCCGATCAGTGATAGAGCTACTCTTACATTTTAGGGTTCGGCCTTCGGGCTGTGATCCCTCCATACGACCTCTGCCATGCCCTTCGGACCCTTTAATCGGGTTCTTGGTCTTCGGCCCCAAGGGACCAAAAAAGGACATTCGAAACCCATGGGACCCTTGGAGCCTAAGGGGAAGGTGGGGGAGTCGTGCTTAATTCGGTTCTCCGCGAAAATAAAGCTTTAGGGGCCATTTTAAGTGCCCCTGAAATCTCGCATCGCCTTGAAATGAATGTTTGGGCCGAGTGAAGTGTTCCAATTTACATGGGAGGCTCATAAAAATAAGTGTTATGATGCCCGCCATAAAGGGTCTTGCTGCCTTTTCACCGAAGGAGCCGAACCAGGATTTCGACAGTGTAAGGCCAGGCAATTGTGGTGCCCTTGTATTTCGGTGCCCCTTGAAACGGAAGTTTTGGACCAACTTCAACTGTTCTTTCAGTTGACCACATTCATTTGGTGTCTCAAGGAAATAAATGCAATGGTGGTCCGAAAGAAATTCGTCGCTTGGCCGAATGGGCCGATGCAGGATTTCGTTAATGGAGAGGCACGGGCGTTGTGATGACGCATCGCAAAGCCCCAGTGACAACGGAAGCTGTTGGTGCCTGCTTCCTTGAACGAGGTGCCCCTTCCCCGACCGGTCCGATTCAGAAGTTTTCCAAAGTGACAGGCACACCGATTGTAATGCCGCTGGATTTTGGTGCCCTTTTAAATTATGGTTTTGGGCTTTGTAAATGGCCCGTTTTGATTTAGTACCCCTTGGCAAACAAGATGATGTCGTCCCACAGGGACGGTTTTTGAGCCTCCTTGCCCATGGGTCCAATCCAGGATTTTATCAGGGCGGAAAGCTCAACATAGTTATGCCCCTGGAATTAATGGCTCTTTCAGAATCAGGGTTAGCGCCCTTTCTGGTACTCTCTGAAATTGGTGCTTCTTGAAATTAAAGGTTATGTTGCCCCGAAATGAAATATTTGGTGCCCCCTCACCGCATCGGCTGACGCAGGGTTTCGTCGAGGCCACGGCAAGAACGTCGTGGTGCACCCTGCAATTTGGTGTCTCATAAAAATATAGGTTATGTGCTTCCCAAATGAAGGTATTGTTGGCCCTTTGCGATGAGATTTGGTGCCTCTTCAGCTCGTCCAAACCTCTATGTGCCCAAGGGGGAGAGGAATGACCCCGTGGCTCCTCTCCCTC